CACAGGCACTGTGCTCTCTCTCTCTCTCTCTCTCTCACACACACACACCACCCATAAAAAGAAATCAATTAATTAAAAACATATTTTCAGTGACTCACACATCAAAAGTACACAAACAACCAGTTGGTGGGAAGAGCAGCACTCAGATAATGGGATGTTTCAAAGTACACACTGTTGGTCTCTGGAGGAAAATTAAGCAAGTTTCTGGACATGGTTAGAATTAGAATTTTCATTATTAGTAAATTCTTGAATTTAGAAATAACTATTGAATCATACAAATAACTTTACCGATATAAATATTATCATGTTAAGAAAATACCGCTAATCTGTGCCAGGTGCGGTGGCTCAGATCTGTATTTTCGGAATTTGGGAGTTGGAGGCAAGAGGATCGGGAGCTTAGGGTGAGCTTCGTTACGAGGTGAATTCAAGTTCAGTCTGGACTATCTGAGACCCTGTCTTAAAAAGCCAAAATAAATAAGTACAAATAAGTAAAAAAAAAAAAAAAAAAAAAAAAGTCTCTGTGGAAATCAACACTTTAAATAGTCTAGATTATATTCAAAATCAAAATGAATTGTCTTTCACTCATTGATAAATAAAATATATTATTTTTTTGTACTAAAAATTAAACCTGATTTAAAAGTTTAATTTTTGTCTATGTGTATCTGCTGCTGCCTGAGGAGGTCAGAAGGCGGCCCTGGGGTCTCTGGGGCTACAGTTACAGGTGGTGGTGATCTGATGTGGGTGCTGAGAGTCAGACAGAGGTCCTCTGCAAGAGCAGCAAGTGCTCTTACCCCCTGAGCCAGCTGTCCTGCCCCTGTGCGAGCCTGTCAGGAAACGGAATAGACATATTTTGTAAAGCGGAGTGAGATAAGCCTAGGACATTATTGCTGTTCTTACCATTATTCCTACATATACTGCTCACAGGTCCAGCATCTGCTTGGCATGGTTAAAAAATATTTACTGTCGTTACATGGGCCCATCACCTCATACTCCAAGACCAAAGGAGACTTTCTGAGATCATTCTTGCCAGTGTGTTCTGCTTGTAATTCTTTTCTCACATGCTTTTAGCTGGGCCTTACTTTACTTTACCTTACTCTACGTTCTAATCACTAGTGCCTCCAGCTTTCTCTCCTGAAGAAAGTCTGTGTTCCACCTGCCTGATCACCAATAATTAGGATTTATGTGCATGGACAAGGCTCATGCCTGCCTATTCGGAGGGTGAGAACTATTCTGCCAGGCATGGTGGCTCAGGTTTTTAGCCCCAGCACTCAGAAGGCCGGGTCAAGAGGACTGCCACAAATTCAAGACCAGTGAGTCCCAACCAATCAGGGTTAAAGGACCTGTCTTTAAATAAAGAAAAAGGAAAAAGGAGAAAAAGAGATGGGGGCCTGGTCAGTCTTGCCTTCCACCACGTTCCTGCATTTATTTTCTACATAGCACCGACGGGTGTTCCTCACTCGACTTTAAAACAGAAGCAAAATAACCGTTGGAAAACAGCGCAAACGAGCGACTGTAAGACAAACACGAACACTTGTTCTCTTGAGGATTAATTCCTTTTTTTTTTTTTTTTTTGGTCTGGAAATGTTGGACCTTAACTTATGTCCAGTTATCTTGTATTCAGTTTGGTGTTTTCTAAACTATGTTAGACTCGTTTGTTCTCACCACAGAGTAACGTGGTCAAGGGTTGTTTGGGTCAGGAAGCTAAGTTAAACCCTAAATCTCTACCACCTTCCTCTCCCTGCATCGCTATCAGATGGAAACCCCAAGAAGGGTGAAATCTCCCACCAGTCAGTCTTAGTCTCCAAACGCTCTGCTATAGACCAGATCTGTGGTCCCGGTGTCAACAGCTTGGTTCCCAGGATGCCGCCAGAGGGGGTTGTGGGAACTTTAAGAGGCGGAGCTTCCGGGTAATAGGCAGCACACCCTTGATGGGGATGGGAGGGCGCCAGCCTCTACCTTGTTCTCCTCTCTCTCCTGGCTACAGAGTGATTTTGCTCTGCCATTGCCCCTCCTCCGATGTGCCACCTACCGCTGGCCAAAGCAATGAGAACAACAACAGATGATGGACTGGATCCTCCCAAACTATGAGCCCCAAATCAACCTTTCTCTTCATGAGTCTCAGGTGTTCTGTTACAGTGAGGGAGAGGTGACTAACACTAGGATTCTGCATAAAGCAGTGACATCTCTTCCTTCACGCTCCACTTTCACAGCGCATTCTTTGGAAATAGAAGAGCAGAGATACCCATGCCTTGTACATCAATCTAAGGTATCATCCTCATCACTGCAGGTTAAAGGAATCATTGTGTGGCTTCTGTGCTCCTGGGGAAATATGACCTTGAGGCAAAAAGGGAAGGAGAAAAGGGAGGGAGGAAACAGAATTTCTTGAAGGAATTGGTTTCAAGTCTTTCGAAAAGAAAATTTGGAGCAGATCGAGAATATCTTGTTGTTAGCAGGATGTGAAGATGGGGTGCTAAAAAGACAACAGTGGAATAAAGAAGGGGTTCCTACTACCACACTGTGCCAATCTTTCCATAAAACCGTCACTAATTGACAAGAGTGAAAAAAACTTAATAGAAAATGTTAACAGCCAGGCATGGTGGCGCCTGCCTTTGATGTCAGCACTGGAGAGGCTGAGGCAGGTGAATCTTTGTGAGTTTGAGAACAGCCTGGTCTACACAGTGAGCTCCAGACTAGCCAAGGTAGACTCGGTCTCAGAATATTTGAAAAAATGTTGACAAATATGGGGACAATGAGATGACTGAGTAGATAAAGGCTCTTGCTGCCAATCCTGACATCTTGAGTTTGATCCTCTCACATGGTGGGAGGAGAGGAACACGTTATCTGACTGCCCATGTGCGCTGTGACATGTGTATGAGTGTTAGAGTGTGTGTGTGTGTGCGCGCGCACACACACACACACACACACAAAATAAACGTAAAAAAAGTTAATGAACTACACAACATGAGCAGGAGGGGCCCAGTACTCATATTACATCATAGTATAGCAAGGAGAAAGCAAAGCCCATCCACTCATTACCAAGGATGGTTATACAGAGCCAGAGTAAAGGGTGTTGCAGGGTATTTGATCCCGTTGTAAACCCCAAAATCGTGAACTGTGAAACCCTGTTCTTGTTTGGTGTGGTTGAGCCCTATCACACACCTTTAATCCAAGAACTTTTTATTGTAACAGGTTATCATGGTGTGGTTCACCCAGCCCTAGCACACACCCTTAATACAAGAGCCTTCTGCACACAGGATTTAATAAAGTCAACCCTAGGTCAACAGGCAGAGCAAGAAACCAGCTGACAGGGATTAAGGAATAGGAGGGACTTTGAGTTGGGGGGTATTTAAGACAGGGTGGAGAAGAAAGCTTTTAGCTCAAGCTCTGGCTTTAGTTTAGGCTTTAGCTCCTCAGCTCCCTGGGTTTTTGGGCTTTGAACAGCAAGCCTTCTGCCTTGGGTTTTCTGACCTTTTGCACCTGGGCTGTCAGTTGAGCTAGTGAGAATTTTGGATTTTTTTTTCCCATCGGACCTGACTGAGAAGGAATGTCAGCTGGGTGCTTTGTCTGCCTCTCTGAGCTAGCAGGTTTTCACCCCAGCATCTGGCTCCTGAGTCTTTACTGGTAAAATAGTACAATTGGGATTTTCATTTTTATAAAACAACAAAAGGGTCCAGTGCTATGTTCTCAGATGACAACTTCACTGAGCCACCAATTCCCCTCCCTCAGGAGAGAGCACTGGCCCACTCTCACTCCCCTTCTCTCCTTCTGAGCAATAAAATGAGACATTGGTAAGACCTAGCAGGCTCCAACTATACCAAAGAGGCCAACATTTCCTAATGACAGAAAGATAAAGCAGGATCAAACACCTCTGCCCAGCTTCTGGGACATAGGGAGGTACTTTTTCTATGCTGTAACAATGCAACTTGTAACAAAAGGGGCTCAAACCACAGGATCCTCGTCCCAGCCCCAACTGGAAGATTTAACAATGTAGAACTTACAGCCCCACCAAGTCTTTTTTTTTCCTGGAGGGAAGGTGGTTTCTGGGAAAGCTGGGAAAATCCCAAGAAGGTGTAAATTTGTAGGTCAGAGGTTCATTTACTTTTAAAGGAAAATTGATGCACTGAATTTGTGATTTGTATCAGATTCTTAAAGGCATTCCCACGCTTCATCCCTGCACAACGTGAGGGCTTTGCTTTCATAAGTACGGACACTTGGGCGACCTGGCTAAGTCATCCTGTGGTTATCTGGAGGACTATTAAGCAACTTAAAGAAATACTGTCATGCCTGTAATTCGAGTGCACAGGGGGCTGGAGGCAGGAGGGTTGCCATGAATGTGAGGCCAGCGTAGGTTACACAGAAAGTTCTAGATCAGCCTGGACTACTCTGTCTCATAATACCAAGCCAAACTGAAATCTAAAGCAGCAAATATTACTATGGATCAAAACGTAGAACTGTAAACTCAACAAGTCCTTTCTTCTACAAATAAATAAGTAAAATAAATGCACAAATAAGTAAATAATTGCTCCATAAGGTAGGATTACAAACCAAACATTAAAGACATAAAAACATAAACGACTGTGAATACTCCCTCAACCATGAATATTTCTTCCTAAGCACAACAGCCTCTGAACACAAAATAATGAGACCACCTTGCCACCCCAGAAGATCATTAAAACATAGTTATCCAAGTGTAGGTGCTGCATGCTAATTTTAACTCCACAGACTGTACCGTGTGGGCTTGCTGTTGGATCTCCCCACTCTGGTAATTTTAACTCCATAGATCATGCTGTGTGGGGCTTGCTTTTGGATCTACCCACTCTGGTAATTTTAACTCCACAGATCGTGCTGTGTGGGGGCTTAATGTTGGATTTCCCCACTCTGCCAACCTTAACCACGCAGACTGTGCCGTGGCGGACCTGATTTTGGCCAGCCCTCCTTGAGTGTTGAAAACCCCCGCTTCCCCGGCTTCATTGCCAACCCCAGAGCTGTTAGATCCAGACCTTTGGCTTCATCTGTCTTTCCTCCTAGGTTGGAGTTAGCGTCTTTTGTAGAGTCTTTTAGGGTTCCGTATTCCTTCTCCATCTTGGCGGCTTCTTCCTTGGTACTGTCCGTTTCTTCGTGACTCTTCTCTGACGGCACTGTGATCAGATAGTGCACTGTTGTTAAAACATCATTTCCTGCCTTCCTTAATTCTTAATGTACAACAAACTTTACTGAAAAGATATGGGCTGTGGTCGCACTGTGTTTTTTGAACTATCTAATCCAATCGTCTGCCATCATTTCACAGAAAGGAGAAACTGAGGCTCCAGGAAGAAAAAGATGCTTAGGGTCACCCAATTAGTCAACAAGAAGCTAGGTCCAGACTCCCAGCACCCCAGATTCTGAATGAGCAGGCTTTCTTCAACTACACCATCATCAGAGAGCGACTGCTTGTCTTGCTTCTTTATTACTGTATTATAGATTGGCTTTCACTATGTTATCTTTGTACTCCTTTCTCAAGCCATCCTCCTCAGCCTCCAGAACGCTTGGCATGTACAATCAAAACTGGCTATTTGTTTTCCTTCCTTCCTTCCTTCCTTCCTTCCTTCCTTCCTTCCTTCCTTCCTTCCTTCCTTCCTTCTTTCCTTTCCTCCTTTCTCCCTTCCTTCCTAGGCAGGTAGACAAACCCGGAGCATCATGTATGCTAGGCAAGCGTTCCACCACTGAGTCACACCCTCAGCCCAGTTTATCTTAATTTAGTTAGTGTTGACAGGGA